GCCCAGGCCAGGTTTGAACCTGCCAGCCTTGGTGTATGTGGCTAGCGCCATAACCACTGTGCTATGGGCACTGAGTCTATTACAAAATTTTTTGTTCTTTATTTTCTGTCTGATCTTCTGTTCTTTATTTTCAGTCAATATCAACAATATTAGTCTGTTTATTATAACAGAACAAAATTTATTTTCAAGCCAAAATTAAATTTTTTTCAGGTTTTTAAATATACTTTTTCCCTGTATTTACTTTCTTAACTATAAAACAAAGCCCCTCCCTTAGAAGTTTAAATACTTTTGAATATTTCAGTATATTTCAAAGTTTTCTTGCCCTATAAACAATAGATATTTTCCCTATGGGTGTTGAAGTCCTATTGTGTTTTAGATAGGCTGTGGCTAAATACACTCTGATGTTCCTCACCTATTTCCTTAATGGGTGGTAACCTGTCAGAGGACATGACCCTTTCCAATTCAATTTTTAGTATACCACAATTCCTGCATAAATTTGTATGATTGCAAAGCTTTGTACTTGGTATAAGCCTTGGAGTACAAATGATCTTCATTTTTTAAACTTTATACAAATGAAACTTAAAAGAAATTTGATCAAAGATATTTTTGAAAATAAGCTTCCTATACTTGTATTTATAATTCAGTATCTTTTATTTTTTAAATCAAGTTGGCTTCTATACATTTATAATGTTGAATAAAACATTGTAATGGATTCATAGCAAAAATTCTGGAAAATATAAAGACTATAAAGCATGAATGAAAAAATCAGTTCTATTTCTATTACCTAGAAATTAGTTAACATGGTGATGTTTTTTCCAGATGTATAGTATTCATGTAACTTAGTTTTTAAGATATATAATGTGTAACATAATAATATATTTAAATCACAGAATTTCCTTTGAAATGGAATTGCAGTTTTTATGTGAACTTTTTAAATTTTAATGTTTCCTTTGAGTTTTTGAAAAATAGAGTCATTCATGAAATTCGTATCTTTGGAATTCTGTTTAGTATGTGACCTTCTTCCCTACACAGTTGATCTCAGCCAGCTCCTCTCATTCCTGACTTTCATCATTCTTAAGTCCTTGATCCCACTGCTTCTCAAAATATTTGTGAAGGGCGAGTTCTCGCCTCTCTTTCCAGTTTGTGTTGGATATTAGGCACGGCTGTACTCAGCTTGCCCCGTTTGTGACTCACTACACTGAGTCTGAAAACACTTGAACTGGTCTAAGTACCATAGCCAAAGGGATGAGTTCATTGATTACAGGAAGTTCAAATTGTGGCCAAAGTTTCTCAGGTCCTCACTCTCAATTTCTGCACTGCTTCAAAAATTGTTTGTAAAGAGGTGAGAAATAAGTATATGTGCTTCTACTTTCTCTGAGTATTAGAGGTCAAAGAAGGATAATACAAATTTCTCCTATTTTACCTATAGTAAATAAGAGGCATGCTGGCCCCGTACTGGAGACGATGCTTTGAGATGCCGTGTTCTCTACTCAGCATCCATAAGCCTCTCTCTTATTTGACTACCTTATCATCCTCATCAAAAGAGACAACTAGGGAGGCATGAATTAGCAAACTTTCTGATCCTAATAAATATTACAGACGCAGGACATATGTAATAATTATTAATATCTAATATGGTCCAAATACTGTGTCATATGTTTAAGAGTTTACACTGAGGAATAAAACTTGATAATCCCTGCTGTCTAGAATTTTAGAGTCTGAGAGTTAGTGTAGATAACATTTCAATATAATTAATAATAACAACAACATAGTGCCTACAAAAGAGATATGAAAAGGATGTGAAGAAGCAGGAAGGGTACAGCCAAACTGACATTGATTCTTAGATTAACTGATGCCTTATTTGCATCTGTCATAATAGCAAGAATAAAGGTAAGTAAGAATGAGCGAGAGTTGATAAAGGAAAAAAGATGTGGAATCGGAACCCTTTAAAAGGATCACTATGAGTTTAGTTGTTAGGTTTTTATGGGAAGGTAAGAGTGGAAATAGGAGACTATTTAGGGGCCCGAGATTATGACTAGTATAGGGATTGGTTTTCTGCCAGGGTAGGTAAATTAGCTCCTGAATTGCAGTTCCTGTACTGTTTTTAGGTAGTATGTAAATACCTATTAGAATTTCCATGTCTCCTCCATTGACAGATACACTGGCCGGAGCATACCAAGCATTTCACTGTCCTGTTCTTTGGATGGTAAAGCAATTTTTCATGACTATAAAGTAATGTTTCTGAAGTGATGTTTTCTACTTTTCCCATATGATCTGGCCAGAAACTGGAGCTCTGGTCATTTAATCACAAATGATGAATGTGAATTATTTCACATTGTGAAACATGAAGATACCCTAAATATTCTTCCTGTTTTGATGTGATTAGATTTATGTAAAATGATTCACTGATATCAAAGTTCAAGGGATTAAAAGAAAAAATTTTAGAACTTAAATAATAAGAAATAATGGAAGAAATGGTTTTTGATTCTTAATTTATCTTATTACAGTTAATTTTGGAATTCCTATGTGCACTGATTCAAAAACTTGGTGAGAAGTAAATGTAGATGCTTGTCTTTCTAAGGTATTGTGGATCATGGAATGATAATCTAAATTCATTTTGCCTAATCTTACCTAAGTAAACACAGTTTTTTTCTACAAGATAATCTTATGGTACAGGGGCTTTTAAATTTGCTTTAAGTTCATAGCATCTTTTGGTATCTTGAAGAGGAGATATTATTCAAGTGGCAAGAATTTAAAAATGATGATTTAAGAGTTTTATTTGCTCTTATCTATAGCCTAATAAATTGTTTGTAACTTTCAGCCAAACAATCATGATAGCATGTGTCAGCCCTTCAGATAGAGATTTTATGGAAACATTAAACACCTTGAAATATGCTAATCGAGCTAGAAATATCAAGAACAAGGTGATGGTCAATCAGGACAGAGCCAGCCAGCAAATCAATGCACTCCGCAGTGAGATCACACGCCTTCAGATGGAGCTCATGGAGTATAAAACGGTAAGCTAATGGGTTTGACTTTGCATTTTGTGATACCTGAATCTAGTGTGTTGTGAACACAATGTTGCCTATTTGTGATGGCTTGGACATACGTGTCTATGGAGTCTTTTGGGTGTTATACCACGGGCCTCTCTCATTTTGGAGGTAGGATACTGTGGTCTTCTTTGTGGATGGTCTTTAGTGATGTTCAGTCTAACCTAACCAACTGCTTGTTCAAAAGGCTTCCTACTCAATATTACTAACAAACGCACGGACGAGGGTTGTAGTAGAGGAGAAAGGATCTCTCTTGCCTTAGGATTGGTAAGATAAAAGAAAGGCTCTTTGGTTGTGGGATTGTATAGTCCTAGAGTATCTTTAAACAAAACTTTGTGTATTTAAGATTCCCCAGCCAACAAGGAAATATTTTCCTTTCCTAGGGTAAAAGAATAATTGACGAGGAGGGTGTGGAAAGCATCAACGACATGTTTCATGAGAATGCTATGCTGCAGACGGAGAATAATAACTTGCGTGTAAGAATTAAAGCCATGCAGGAGACGGTTGATGCATTGAGGACCAGAATCACACAACTTGTTAGTGATCAGGCCAACCAAGTTCTTGCCAGAGCAGGTATGCGTGAGGGTGGGATAAGTGAGGGATTAAGTTCTGGACGGCAGGGAACATTCTTTGTGCTCACTAATTACCTAGAATAGTTGAAGTAGAACTGTCAATCTGTGTATTCAGTCTGTGGTTTTAAGCTCACTACCTAATTTAAAAAAAATAATGAATTCTGACATAAATAAAATGTGCCCTTTGCATCCTATTATCTTACAGTCTGTTTATGTAAGTAAGGTTAGAACATTTTCTGTTAAGCGTTGTGTTTTGAAGAATTGTGTTTTCATTTCCAAAGTCCATTTTTTCTCCTGTTTGGTTGAAGTCATAAAGGAAATTTTTTTATTTCATATTTTTTCTTGCAGGTGAAGGAAATGAGGAGATTAGTAATATGATTCACAGTTACATCAAAGAAATCGAAGATCTCAGGTATAGTTCATGATCTCTAATGTGTGACACACGTGTTTGTTTGGTTTTGCAAGGTTATGGAATTTCTATTCGTTGGGCTTATTGTGGTGATATTTCAGCAGCTATTCTTGGTGGTATTTCAGCGTTTTGGTGAGGTTTACTTTAGGGGTCTAGGTGCTGGCCACTCCCATAATGTCATATTCCAACTACTTTTCTTCTTGTATTATCTTCCCTTATTATCCTTCTACTTTTATTACGCCCTTCACTGGGTGCTGACCTCACTGACATAGAACAGGCAGAATTGATGTTGGTGAAGTTATGTCTGGTGCCTTTCCTCCCTGTGCCTCTTCCCCTACTCTTTGGAAATAAATCAGTATCTATAAGTCATTTCTGAATCTTTGAGTCTCCCTTATGCCTTCTAATGCGTCAGCATCTTTTTTTTTTTTTTTTTTTTAGATGGAGTCTTACTTTGTCATCCTGGGTAGACTGCCCTGGTGTCATAGCTCACAGAAACCTCAAACTCTTGGGCTTGAGCCATCCTCTTTCCTCCACCTCTAAAGTAGCTGGGACTAAAGGCATGTGCCACTCTGCCCGGCTCATTTTTCTATTTTTAGTAGAGACAGGGTCTTGTTCTTGCTCAGGCTGGTGTCAAACACTGGAGCTGAAACAATCCACATGTCTCAGCCTCCTGGAGTTCTGGGATTATAGCTGTGAGCCAGTGCATGGGTGGGCCTCTTCAGCTTTTCTTGTGCACAAATCATCGTATCCCTAAAACTTTGTCTGCCTTTCTCTGGTACATCCATTCATACTTCCTGCAACATGCCAGATGTGCTTGCTATGTGTCAGCAGCATGGCACAGGCTGGGCGAGCCTCACATAAAGAAGAGTTTACAGTCTACTTGGAACAACGTGTGTGAATAGTCATGTGTAGTGAATGGAATGACGGAATTAAAGAAATGCCCATTCCTTGTGTGGGGAATGTGGAGGAGACCACTGAACCTACAACCCCACTCAAAAAATGCCCATTTCTTGTGGGGGGGGGGATTAGGGATGAGAAGGAAAGTTAAATCAGTAACATTTTCACATTCTATCGTGTTCTCTGATGGGGGAGCATCTAAGCAGTTTACATCTCACTTCTGCTAACCATTAGCAGACAATAACCAAGTGATAAGATGATCTTTCATGGTAACCCTAGTACTTCCCCATCTTGTTTCTGTGTTGTCTTCCCCTCTCTTCTGACTCTTGTAGAGGTTCTCAGGCTGTGACAAGTACTTTCTGCCTTGTTCCTGGCTCCATGAGGCACACTGCATCCCTTAGATGTTGCAAAAAGTGAAAACAAATGAGAAGACATCTTGATGTGGCAATAAAGTTATTCAAGCATAACTTTTATTTTTGGTGTATATATATTACATATACATATGTACATATATGTATACACACATACATACACACACACATATATATGAACTTTTTTATGTATCACTTTTTTTGACAGAGACCTTTGGGTCGTTCCATCCTGCTTCTACTCAGCAGGCAACCTGGACTTGAAATTTCTACTCTTCCCCATCTACTGCCAAAAAACTTGTTCTCTGGCCAGTCTCTCCTCATTTTGTGGACCCTATCTTTACCATTTTTAGAGACACAACTGATATCTCTGCTTTTTAATTCCTGAAGATCCTCTTCCTGCCCCTGGGCTGCTTGTCTCTATCTCTTTTATTTCCTGGGCACTTGCCAGCTGTGACGGTTAACTGCCTGTTCTGGTTCATGGCTCTGTTTCCTTTCCTCTACTCTGTTACCCTAACCCTGCTCTCACTGATGGACAGATGGCTTGACGAGTGTCACTATTTCCTAGAAAACTGCCTGAATCATTTCTACACTGTCTAGTGGCTGAAAGCAGCATCTAGTATCATCCTTCTGTAAGGTCTTGAGTTAAGACTATTTCTTAAGCCATTTAGAGAACAGAGATGACTCATGTGCCCAGAGTTCACTGATTAATCACATCTTTCCTGATGTAGGTTAATACCTTGTTCCAGATTCCCACCTTTTCTTTGATGGCTCTTTAATTAGGTATGTCTCACATCGGAGTAGTAGTCTTCTAGAATTTCAGGAGTATAATTTAAATAGGGGATAAGCATAAATGAACCTTGAATTCAAATTGGATTACCTGGATTGAAATTTAAGCTTCTATTTAGCCATAAGGTATGTGACCTTGGGCAAGCTACGTAACATCTCTGAGCTTTGTCTTTCTTTTTGTTCATCTGTAAGAATGAGATTAATACCTGATAATCTCACAGAGTTATTATGGGACTCAAATTTTAAAAAAGGGATATAAAAGTTAAATTGAAAGGCATTGTAAAGGTCTGAAGTTCTCATGTTATTATTCTCTCTCTTATTATTTAGGTCCAAGTTCTCATGTTCTATCTGCTAAATCCTGTTGCACTCTCTATTTCTATCAAAAATCAATTTTAGGAACATATTTAGTTGCTGCTTTTTAAACTTAATGCTAATTTATGTTGACGTATTTCCACTTGGAAATATTTCTAAGTTTTACTATTTTAATTTTAAAATAATACTAGTTACCTTTTAATAAACTTACATGTCACATTATCTGTGAAATAATAATTATCATTATTTAATTAATCCTTATTTTGGGGCATTCAAATTTTATAGAAACTTTTGAAAATATAGGAAAGTATGACAAGAGAAAATTAAAATCATCTATATTCCCACTATTCCAAGAACCAAGGTCTAGCTCTTCAGTATTTTTTCAATGCATAATTTAACACAATGAACATCAAAGTATATATGTTGCTTTGCTGTTTCTTCTTTGAAACATGGTAATATAAGCATTTTCCATGTTAAATATTTTTTGTGAAATAATCTTTACATGGCTCCATATAGCACTATCTTGTGATTGTAATTGATTTATTTAATCCTCTACTGTGAAGCATTCACCTCATTTCCAAGTTTTTGATAAGAATAGTAGAGGAATTGTAGCATCAGATGGCAGGGCTATTTTTAGATCTCTAAGTGTGCTACTAGGTAAATATCCAAAAGATCAAAAATCACATTATAACAAAGATACATGTACCAGGATGCTTAATGCAGCACAATTCATAATTGTTCAGTCGTGGAAAAAGCCCAAGTGCCCATCAACCCATGAATGGATCAATAAATTGTGGTATATGTATATCATGGAATATTTTGCAGCCTTAAAGAAAGATGGAGACTTTAACTCTTATATGATTACATGGATTGAGCTGAAACATATTCTTCTTAGCAAAGTATCTCAAGAATGGAAGAAAAAGTATCCAATCTACTCAGTCTTACTATGAAACCAATTTATAGCTTTCTTATGAAAGCTATAACCCAATTATAGCCCAAGAAGAAGGGAAAAGGGAGGGGAGGGGGGAGAATGGGTGGAGGGAGAGTAATTGGTGGGACCACATCTATGGTGCATCTTACTAGGGTACATGTGAAATTTACTAGGTGTAGAATATAAATGTCTTAATGCAATAACTTTGATGAAAGCACTTCAGATTGTGTCTAAAACCAGCACAGTGTACCTCATGATTGCATTAATGTACACAGCTATGATTTAATTAAAAAAATAAAAAAAAGAATAGTAATTATTTGTTAAATATGACATCGGTCATGTGAGTTTTAAATTTATTATGTCATTGATTCTCATGAAGGAAATATATATTTCAGCTCCATTTTATAGAAGGAAAAGAGGGACTTTTAGAGACGAATCGTCCAAGATCCAGGGCGAGACAGCTAAAATGTGAGCCCTCAGTCTGCTCCTTCCCGAGGAAGTCTGTACATTCCCCCTCTTATCTCACTGCTTATTGTTCTGTTAAATGAAATGCAGGCAGCAGCAAGTGGTTGGGTGAGTTGGAAGAAAGAGAGAGATTGAAAGGAGATGGATGTGCTCCCTAATGCCGCTGTAAAGTCAGGTTCTGCTAATGTAGCCTGGAGTTCGTGGAGGTGATTCTTAAAGATTTCAGCCTTTATAAACACCAGGACTGAAGCAGCATTGGATATATTCCTGTGAAATGCAAACTTTTAATATCACTTATCATATAATAACACGGGGGCCACTTAACATATAGGTTATTATTGTTAGCTGATTTATTATATTTTCATTGATTCTTAGCCTTCATTATTATGGACTCAGGTTTTGTACTAGATGTTGAAAACATAGAAAAGTGTAAAATACTTGTTTGTATTTTTCTATTATTTTACAATCATGAACTTTGATTTCAAATTTTTGTAGTTAAGCTGAGTTTTTATACTTAGCCTGCTTTCTCCATTTAATAAAAGTGTCAGCATTATATTCAGAATTTTCTTAAAATAAATTTCAAGTAATTTAGTTAACCTAGAAATTTGTACACAACTACGTAGTCATATTAAGGACTGTAATTGTTGGTCTGCTCACATGTGACATCAGTTAAGGAAAAAAGCAATTTTATCAAAGAATAGGTGGGACATTGACCTGAAAACTTACATTTACTGATTTACGTATACTCTGTCTATCGCTGGTTTTGAGATTATCATGTATAATAGTGGTAGATGATGAAAAAACCCTATAGCTGACTGTGTCCTCCAGAGCTGAGTGGTTGTGAATACTCTCTTCTTCTTTTTTTTTTTTCCAAAATATTTGAACATATGGCTAATATCCATAGTAACATAGTGTGGATACAGAGATGAGTAGTATTTTCTCCTTGTTATTCTGTCTCAGCCACTATTATGCCAAATTAACCTTGACACAGTTTAGATAACTGCATTGAAATAGATAATTGTATTCTCGATGTCTTACATCAAGTAGAAGTAAAGGGAATGGCCTTAAAGGATTCCAAGAAACACTTTTAGTCTCTAGAGTCTAGGCTCTTTTAGGATTTCATCATTTTGTGTTTTCACATATTACTATCAGTGTGTGCATTATTCTCTTGTCATTATTAGGACTGTTTGAACAAACAAAAGAATGTTTTCAATTATCACACCCAGGTTTCCTTGGAGATAGTGTCTTTTCCCACGCCATATTCAGGAGCCAGAAATCTGTCAGCCAGTTTGGGGCAAATTTGACTAACTATTCCTTGGAAAGTTTTGAAGATGCTATTATTGTGTGATGAATGAGTGGCTGAAACTAGGGGAAGCATGCTGCTTGTATATTTTAATTTTAAATAATAGCTTTACAAAGCCAGGATAATAGTGCCCACTGGCCAGAATCCAGCAGCATCATTGAAGATCATTATCACTGGCATCTGAAGATACAGAATTCTTTTGAACACTAAGAGTGTGATTTCAAATTTATAATTATACCATCAGGCAATTTAAAAATGTTCTATACATTAATGTTTGTGAACACATTTATTTGAAAAAAAAAA